TACAAAAGAAGATAAAGGGAACGCCGCACTAGTGTCTCACAAAATGAAAAATCAAAATTGGTCCATGGCCACTTCTCCCAAATCTTGGGATCACCAAACTCAAGAACAAAGGCCATTAACTGGAATGAGGTAGGATATGTATGTCATGACCTCGGCGAGCTGGACGCTCCTTTCACAGAAGAGGAAATAGCGTCAGTGATAAAAGAAATGCCAATGGAGAAAGCACCGGGACCGGATGGGTTTATTGGTCTGTTCTACAAGAAGTGCTGGGCGGTGGTAAAAGAAGATGTCGTCCAGGCCATCTTGAGTTTCTATTGTCACCAAACAGCTAAGCTCAATCTCATCAATGAGGCAAATATCGTATTATTGCCAAAGACACAAGTGGCCGCACAAGTGTCCGACTTTAGGCCGATTAGCCTTATCAATAGTGTTGTCAAAATTATCACAAAAATTCTAGCTAGATATGTCAAAGGCTTTTGACTCCATAGGATGGAACTTCCTGCTTGAAGTCATGGAGGCGTTGGGCTTCAGTCAAAAATGGAGAGATTGGATAGCATCTTTACTAGGAACTGCATCTTCAAAAATCCTAGTTAACGGTCAGCCAACTCAAGGGATTAGACATGCTCGGGGATCACGACAAGGAGATCCTCTCTCCCCACTGTTGTTCATATTGGCTATAGACCCGCTGCAACGTATCATTGAGACTGCAGCTCAGAGAGAAATTCTCAAGCTGATCCTCCCAAAGGCGGCAAATCTGCGTTGCTCCCTATACGCCGACGACGCGGCCATTTTTGCAGACCCATTGGCCTTAGAGTTAGATCGCCTACACAAAATTCTAAACTTCTTCGGAGAATGTTCGGGGCTCAAAATAAACATCTCAAAAACAGAAATCTTCCCCATCCGCTTGGACAACAACGCAGTCGGTCACCTGTTTCGCAATTTCCTAGGTAAGATATGTAATTTCCCTGGAAAGTATCTAGGACTTCCCCTTCACATTCGAAAGCTAAGAAAAATCGAAGTTCAACCCTTGATTGACAAGATAGGGGCAAGACTACCGGGTTGGAAAGGGAGACTTCTATCCACGTCGGGCAGGGAAACTTTAGTTAAGACGGTTTTGTCAGCTCAACGCATCTATCACATGACTGCCTTCCCTAAACACAAATGGCTAATCCAAAGGATCGATCGCTTGAGACAGGGCTTCCTATGGAGAGGAGAAACCCCCGACAAGGTTTATGGCGGGCACTCTTTGGTGAATTGGCCAACGACTTGTTGGCCCAAAGGAAAAGGTAGACTGAGAATCCTGGAACTTCAACGTTTTGCAAGGGCGCTAAGATTGCGATGGCTTTGGTTTCAGTGGAAACACAAGGATCACGCTTGGAATGAACTTGAGCTGTCGTGCGATAGTCGAGACCGTGAACTTTTTGCTGCTTCAATGGCAGTGACATTAGGAGATTGGAAAACCGCACAGTTTTGGACATCATCTTGGATTAAGGGAACTACAGCAAGGAGTCTTGCACCAACATTATTCCAAAAGGCAAAGAGGAAGAAGATCTCGGTCCAAAAGGCTATACATGACAATCGGTGGATCTCACACATATTGTCCCTTCAGACGGCACAAGAGATACAAGAATACGTAGTTTTATGGGAAAAAATGCATGGCGTTAGTCTGCAGGAAAACATAAAAGACTCCATACAATGGCGTTGGACAAACAATGGAGAATACATGACTGCATATCAAATACAAATTGAAGGCTCTTTCTGCAAATTAAGACTAATGCCGATTGGAGGGCAGGAGCAGAACCTACATGCCGTTTTTTCGCTTGGACACTACTTCATAAGAAGATACTTACACTACTACAAAAAAGTTATCAGTAGGCGCGCTCTAGAGCCTCAGAGGGGGCTCTCACGCCAGCCGCCCCTTCCTGGGTGTTCCTCAGAGGGTGCCTCAGTGGGGCGGTTCTGACCGCCCCTCTGATTGCCCTCTGTAGGGGCGGCTGGTGTTTTCAGCCGCCCCTCAAATTGCCCTCTGTAAGGCGGCCGGTAATATCAGCCGCCCCTGTAGTGGACTTCTGTAAGGGCGGCTGTATCAACAGCCGCCCCTACTGTGTGTATTTGTAAGGGCGGTTCAATCAAGAACCGCCCATACAAATGGATTTTCAAAAAAATAATAATTCAAATTCAAATCTGACCCATATATATATATATATATATATATATATATATATATATATATATATATATATATAATTCAAATTCGAATCTGACCATTTCACAGGAAGACTAGTTATATTCCTACAGAGTGGACTAGTACAGGTAGTATTTCACAGGCTCACATGAATATAACTACAGAAACACAAGACCATTTCACAGGAAGACTAGTTATATTCCTTATAAAGACTAGTCATATTTCACAGGCCGCTACTATTGGACAGACAACACAAGCAATGGTGACACAGATGAAATCTAATCTCTAAAAAAGATAACTTGTGCAATACTCTTTGACATGAGTGTCTTATTACCACTAGCGACCAACACAGATACTGCAGTCCTGCAAGCATCAAACAACATGTTATCACCAATTAGTCACACTTCTGGATTTGCCCAATTTGCTAGCACATAGCTGCGAATGATTTCCCATGAATAAACTGGTTGGTCAATCACACGAAAAATTGCACGAGAACTATTAGAAGGAAGAACTACAAAGTTTAAAGGTGAGACATATCACCTTTGCATCGAATCCCAATGAGCTAATGTACCCCTTGACATCATCTCGATAACAAGTAGTTGGGGTCCAGTCAAAATAGTGAAGAAATTCTCTGCTGAGAATTTCTCCGTGGTCAAATTGTTCCATAGATACTTGTAACACATCGATTTGAAGCTGTCATAATCAGATAATCATCTATCACACAAACTTCATAGATGCTATCATTCTCCCATGTTCTTCAACAGCATCCACTTGCATGTAGAGGCGGGCTTTACTCGGTGGGGAACCCCTCTAGTCCCGGTTCCCCACCCGGAGCAAGCATCCGGGACTAAAGGGGTCCTTTAGTCCCGGTCAGAACCGAGGACTAAAGGGGTCCTTTAGTCCCGTGGGTAACACCAACCGACTAAAGGTGCCTCTGACATGCCACGAGGCGGCACTCTTTAGTCCCGTTGGTAACCCCAACCGGGACTAAAGGTTTTTTTTTTTTTTTTTTTTCTATTTCTATTTCTATTTTCCTTTTTTCTATTTTCACCTGCTACCAGGTTTTTTTATTTCTATTTCTATTTTCCTTTTTTTCCTATTTTTAATTGATGATTCGTTTTGGTTTTTGAATACGCATTCTACGCTGCTAGAATATACGTACGTTTATAATGTTCAACATTTTATATAAACTATAGTACAAAGGATCTTTAGTCAAGGATCAGCGGTACAATCCTGTTCAAGTTCGTGCTGCTTGGTTCGAGAGCTGAGCTTTTAAGTTAGCTTTCACTCTTCTGAGCAAGCGAGGTGGTGCTAATAGGTGGGACTGGCCAGCAATTCCAGCATATTGCGTACTGGGCCGGCCCATCGAGGCTTCTGTAAACGCCCGGGACTAAAAGACCTTTAGTCCCGGCTGATAATACTAGCCGGGACTAAAGGTACTAAAGGTATACCTTTAGTCCCGGCTCGTAATACCAGCTGGGACTAAAGGTCTTCGTTTTCAGTGTCAGCAATAAATGCAAGCAGGTAAATGCAAGCCGGGACTAAAGCTCGTAAATGCAAGCAGGTAAATGCAAGCCGGGACTAAATCTCGTAAATGCAAGCAGGTACAAGTAAAGCACCGGGACTAAAAGTTCAGTCTTTGGTCATCGACTTGTAAATGCAAGCAGTACAAGTAAAGCACCGGGACTAAAAGTTCATCTTTGGTCATCATTCGTAAATGCAAGCGGTACAAGTAAAGCACCGGGACTAAAAGTTCAAGTGCTGGTCATCAGCTCATAAAGCACGGCAATAAATGCACTAAAACTTAGAGGACTTTTAGTCCCGGTTGGTGGCTCCAACCGGGAGTAAAAGTCCACCTTTAGTCCTGGTTGGTGTCTCCAATCGGGACTAAAGGTCTCCGCCACTGCATCTTAGCGCGTAGTAGCCATTGGGCAGGGACCTTTAGTCCCGGTTGGAGACACCAACCGGGACTAAAGGTTTCTCTAGTCCCGGGCGCAAAAAATACCGGGACTAAAGCCAAATTTTGAAGTGGATCAAAAGTCGTTTCTCTACTAGTGATCCTACCATCTTATTACTGTGAGGCAAAACATTAAAACTTGAAGATAGCGACATATGCTACTAATCATATGGATTTTGTTTCTAAACAGTAACACTCATCAATGGCTTAAAAAAGATGTCACATTAATATGATACATTTTTAATGGCACAAATACAAAGGCACAACATGTGTACAGTCTGTTGTAAGAAAGAGCACTTGCCCAGTACCACCAAATTTAAGCAGTGTTCCACATTCATATACTGAATGATTGACCTAAGAGTTGTTGCTTAAAACAAAACTAACTAAAAATCATAGTTGGCAACAATAGGAACCTGTAGTAAACTGAGCGATCACACGGTTGGTAGAGATTCCAGTTGAGAGGCTCAACACCCAGGCTTGATCCTAGGTGTCATGGTCGTATGAGTACCTCAGTAAAGAGGTTGATGCTCCCATTTCTTAAGACAAAGCCAAATGTCTCCCTCTCCCTCTCTCTCTCCTTGCGTAGATTTACATATATAGGTACAAAGATAGATTTGCATAAACAATACAGTCTAACAATACAGTCTAGAATTATTTAACAAATGATGCAATCCCTACAACGCAATAATGGCATTTCAACGAACAAGGTTACTGGCACTCGAATTAGATTGAGTAGCACATATATCAAATTTCTACAACATATCGACTCAAATTCATTATACACTTAATGTTAAGGGTCAAGAAGCCATACACATGTTTTCTTCTCAAGGTGAAAGACCTATGCTAACTTTTTTATAGTCAAAAGAACTCATCTATGCTTTCTTGGATCTACACACATGCCAAAATTAAATTGCTAATGTAGACATCATAAAGGAATCCAATACCTGAGAACGTAGATTTTCAGTTTTGTCAACAAGCAGCTCAATCTTCTCACCACGGTCAAGAACCTGAACATCAAAATAGTAATATGGAATTAGGAATAATGTTTGTTGAGGTGTGCTGTCTTTTTCATTATAATGCAGAGATGTGTATTTTTTCAGATGATTAAATATAGTACCTTCTCAATGTTTTCCACCATAACTCCTTTGACTTCTGAGACTTGAGCCTTCACCTTGGCAAGCTTGCTGACCTCCTCAGGGTGGTCCACACAGTACTGCATGTGCTCTTTAAGCTTTGATCTTTATTAATGGTAAAAACAAATAGATGTTAGTCAAGAAAGTCAAGGGATCTAAATGATTGATTGACTGTTGTGTAAAAAGAACAAAGGGGACACACCCAAACTCCCTGTTCAAGCTGTCCGCTGCAACAAAGGGGATTTGTCGCCCGACTGATTCAACAGCAACTACACAATACGCTGTAAAAAAGCAAACAATATTTATCATCAACATGTTCTAGAGCATTGGTTGATTGATAAAGTAAGCATCAAAGCACAAACATATTAACCGATGTTTCATGTTAACCTAAGAACTTTCACAAGGGATAGATAACTAAGAAAGAAATAGTTATATTTGCTTCAGGTCAACCAAAGATGACTTCAAGAAAAGGAAATAATGGATCTTCTATATTAGCGCAGCCATATTGCGGCTGTCCAATATGTATAGAAACACTGCTAATCAAAGTATTCTAAAGATTAGCACCTACTAACTGGCTAACTCACAAGTCACAATGCCAATGCAAACTCGCCATTATGTAATCATACAGTGGTACTTGCAGCAAACTTCTTTTGCACAATAACTTGGTATATTTGCTCTAGAACAACACAAGATACTGAAATGGATGCCTAACTCATATCAGGCACTAAGAACTTGATATTACAACATTCATTATCGCATACGCATAATACTATAATATGCCACAACCTCTTATGTGATAAAAATTGTACCAAATGAAAGCAAAATTGAGCTACATGGCCACGGCATCAACTAACACCAATAGAATTGGCAAAATGGCCACCCATTCCAATGACTAGAAACCGCATGGTTCCACACGAGAGATATGTGCCAGTGCTTTTATCCCCCACGGAAAGCACTAGAACACAATCCAACCACACCAAATCCAGAAAACCCCTGAATCTATGATTAGGTTCCCTAAAGTCAAGGACGATCGAGACACCTTGAAGCTATATCCATAACGCATCTCAGCAGATGAGATGCAACGGGCCTAAATTTTCTGCTGCCCACCATGCATACCGATATACCATACATAGAAATTATCCGAGCAGGTGACCCCCTAAAACTAGCCATTTATAGCAACTCCCGACCCTCCCCAAAACACATCTCATCTCAACTCAAAGTGGAGTCCAAACAGCTGCTCCGATTGATGAGCGTCAAGCAACAGCCCGCTCCACTCAGATTAGCCTCGAAGCAACCGTCGAATCTAACCCCACACCACCTCGAGACGACCAAGCCTGAGACCCCACCCCCACCAGGCGGCGGATGGAGGCGAGCCCCATGAGATCTAAGCGAGGCGAGCCCCGATTCGAGCCCGCGGCGGTGCAGATCCACGCGGAACAGGGCGGACCGAGGCGAGCGACGGACGGGGAGGGGGAGGGAAAGCAAGCTACTCACTGAATCCATCCTCGACGAGGTAGTTGAAGGTGTGGCCGTCGCAGTTGTAGGTGAACTTGTTGTTGCTGGTGGGGAGCTTCTGCAGGCACTGGGCGGCGATGGTGGGGATGACCGACGATGGAGGGGCCTCCGCTGGCTGGCCGCGCGGCCGTGGGGACGATCGACGACGGAGGGGCGAAACCCTAGGCCGCGTGACTCGCCGCGTGGCGTCGCGAGGAGGAAGCGGCGTGGTGGTGGGGGTGGTGGAGGAGGAGGAGGAGAAGGAGGAGGAGGGAGGCCACCGCCGCGTGGAGGGCGGGCCACCATCGAGGCCGTCCCGCGCCGTCGCCTGAGGCGCGCCGCGAGCCGGTAGCGAGGGACGGAGAGAGAGAGAGCTAGAGCGAAGAATCGGAGAGCCGCCTCGGGCTTCATTGCGGGCGGGCGCAGGCTGCAGCGAGCGACGGAACCAACACACGGGCCGTCGATCGGAGAATCGGACGGGCAGGAGAATTTCGGGCGACGTGGGCACCCTGGCTGACGGCCAAAGCTAAAACAGTTTAAAATTACAAAATTGCAATAACTAAAATTACAAAATTTTATAATTAATTTTTTATAGATATATTTACATATACAATAATTAAAACAACCACAACAATTTAACATTGCAAAATTGAACCTTTAAAAAAGAAAAAAAATTAAATTTTAAAAAATTAAAATCAAAACTACTAAAATAATTTTGAGACACCAAATGATCTCAAATGAAAATTTGATAAACATCAAAGTTGTAAAGGTCATGAAGATCTACAACTTTTATTTTGGTCATTTTGTCATTTGACAAAATTTGAACCTTTCAAATTTGAAATTTTAAAAAATGACAAGTTTGAATCAAAATTTGAGACCAAAAATGATTTCAACATAAAAAGTGATGAATACCAAAGTTGTTCAACTCATTAATATCTACAACTTTTATTTTAGTCATTTTATCATTTCACAAAATTTGAATCTTTTAAATTTGAAATTTTGAAAAACGACAAGTTCGAACCAAAATTTAAGACCCAAATTGATTTCAACATAAAAAGTGATGAATACAAAAGTTGTTCAACTCATGAATATCTACAACTTTTATTTTGGTCATTTCTTCATTTGACAAATTCTTAGCACGCATTGTTCACTAATATTACACATATCTCATATAGTTTATAAAACCATAAGAGAGATGTGTCACATTTGTGAACAATGTCATTACCACATTGTCATATGAAGAAATGACCAATACAAAAGTTGTAGATCTTGATGAGTTACTCAACTTTGGTATTTATCACTTTTTCAGCTGAAATCATTTGGGGTACCAAAATCTTGTCTAAAGCTGCATTTTTTTGAAATTCAAAATTTAAATTGCTCAAACTTTTCATATGTATATATTGACAAAACCAACAAAATAAATTGATAGAGAATGATTTTAGAAAATTTTAGAAAAAAAAAATCATCAGATTTGGAGTTAATATGAGGAAGAAAAACTAGTTACAAAGTTGACCAACAGATTAAAAAAAGAAATCACACTGTTCACTATGATCATGTAAGGATCATCTAGAATAGTGTGATTTCTCTTTTTAATCTGTGGGTAAACTTTGTAACTAGTTGTTCTCCCTCGTACTAACTCCAAATATGATAGTTTTTTTCTAAAAATTTCTAAAATCATGCTTCAGCATTTAAGTTTGATCAAACTTGGATGTGACAATGTTTTACACATTTTAAAATTTGAAATTTGAAATTTGACAAGTTCAAACCAAATTTTCAAACCCTAAATGATTTCAGATGTAAAAGTGATGAATACAAAAGTTGTTCAACTCATCAAGATCTACAACTTTTATTTTGGTTATCTTGTCATTTGAATAAATTTGAACCTTTCAAATTTTGAAATTTGAAAAATGACAAGTTCGAACAAAAATTTGAGACCCCCAAATCATTTCAGTTGAAAAAGTAATGAATACCAAAGTTGAATAACTCATGGAGATCTACAACTTTTATTTTGGTAATTTCATAGTTTGATAAATTCTTAGTACACATTGTTCACACAAACATACGTGAATGTAGTCTCAAACACACACATAAATGTAGTTTCAAACACACATACCTAAATGTAGTCTTACATACATGAATGTAGTCTCACATACACATACATGAATGTAGTCTTATGAACACTGACACACTTACATAAACTAGCTAGCCCACCGTGATAACTTTCCCCTTGACACCTTTTCGTTCCCATGGCAATACATCTTTGGGCAGGTTCTTTTCCACAGCCTTGATCTTCTTACAAAAGTTTGTGAATAGCGGCATCTCATTGCACTTATTGTAAGCTTCAACATCATCTACGCCATCAACTCCGATGATATGTTGTTTCCCGGAGGCCACCACGTGCTTTGTCTTCTTCTTTGGGGGGAGGTTACTTTGCGGGTCGGGCATATAGAAGACTTGTGCGACACGTTCAGCGAGCACCCAAGGGTCATCCTGGTAGCCTACATTCTAGAGGTCGACGACTCTCTGCCCGATCTCATTGAATTGATGTTGCTTGATCCAGCGGCATCGAAATAGGGCCACCTTTATATCCCTTCCATAGTCAAGTTCCCATATATCTTCAATTATGCCAAAGTACAGGACCTTTCGCCCCACTCCGTCAAGAGACTCTATTTGGACGCCGCTGTTCTAATTCACAGATTTCCTGTCCTTTGTGTCGGTATAGTATGTGTACCCATTGATGTCATAAGCATTCCAAGACGTCACCTGTTTCGATGGCCCGGTCGCCAACCGACTGATGGTAATAGAATATATGGTTTCTCCAGGCTATATGTTCTGGTCCTTCAACCATGATGTCAGGCGTTGCTTATGCTATTTCATGACCCAATCATCTGAACGGCCATTCCTCTCGGCCATATTGATAGCCATGTGTTCATCAATGTACGGTTGCATCACTGCCATACTCTGCAAGACACTGTAATGCGCCCGACTCACCTCTCTGTAATCATTGTCAAGGAACACTTTCCTACCACTTGTGCCCTTCCCAGCTAGCCTTCCCTTGTGACGAGAATCAGGATTACCAATCCCTCTCTGTACTTTTAGCCACTCTTGGCAGCACTCGACGACTTCTTTGAAATTGTAACCCTCTATCATGGAGCCCTCTGGGTGTGTTCGGTTATGCACGTATCGGCTTAGAACCGACATGAACCGCTCGTAGGACCACATTTCATGCAAGAAGCTAGGGCCCAGCGCCTCGATCTGATGTACCAGGTGAATCATAAGATGTACCATTATATCAAAAAAAGCGGGAGGTAAACACATCTCTAGCTGGTTCTGGGTCTCCACCATGAATTCATGTATGTCACTCAGCTCTTGCCTACGAATCGTCTTCTGTGAGATCTTCGAAAAGAAGTAGCACATGCGGGTGATGGCCATCTTTAGGAACTCTGGCTTTATAGCCCTGATTGCAATTGGTAGGAACACTATCAGCATCACATGACAATCGTGAGCCTTGCAGTATGTTAATGATAGGTCCTTCATCGACACTAGCTTCTTCGGGTTCACCGAAAACCCAGTCGGCACTCTGACCCCCCTAAGGAAATTGCATATAGCTCTCCTCTCTTCTAGGGTTAGGTTGAAGCTAGCCGTGGGAAGACTGTACTTGCCATTATCCTGTTGTACCGGCCAAAGCTCCCGCATCACGTTCATCTGCACCATGTCTTTTCGTGATCTGAGACCATCCTTTGACTTGCCCGTTTCCATCAAGGTAGCCATGAGACTCTCAAAGACATTCTTCTGCACGTGCATCGCATCAATGGCATGGGGGACCTCCAAGTTTGGCCAATAAGGCAGGTACTGAAAGAAGATCGATTGCTTCTTGAATGGTACACCTTCGATGGGAGGTGTGCTTCTATCTCTGATCGTTCCATCCGGATTCTTCTTTCCATAGACGATGTGTATGTTTTGGACCATTCTGAACACATTCTGAACACATGTTTGGGGCCAGAGATAAGAATGGTGAGGAGAAGGTACTTCCTCTTCTGACACAAATACGTTGGGAGGTTGTACATGGTCAAGATGACTGGCCATGTGTTGTGGTCGGTCATCCTCTCATTGAAGGGATTCATTCCATCGGTGCTCAAGCCGAACCGTACATTCCGTGGGTCATCACTGAATTCTGCTTTGTACTTGGCATCGAACGCTTGCCACTGGCTACAATCGGCTAGGTGTGCGATTGTATCATCATCCACCTTGCGCTCATCATCCCACCATGTCATCAGTGCGGCTTCCTTAGGGTTTAGGAACATACGCCTTAAGCGGTTGATCACTGGCAAGTACCACATAACCAAGGCAGGAATTCTTCTCTTATTTGTATCGTTGCCTAATGGAGTTTCCTCTAGGGGCTGAGATTCTT